GCTATGGCGGGGGGGGCCCGCGGCATCGCGGGGGAGGGGGGGCGGAGCGGACCCTGGCGCGCCAGGCCGGGGGGCCCGCCACGGGCCTCCGTGCGTGCAGTGGAGGCCCATTCCAGGAGACATCCTGCTCGCTCCGGGGCGCCCTGGGTGTCTCGGATTTCCTTGGTTCTGCTGCTGAAGGCGTGGCGCTCCCCCGCCAGAGATGGACGTCCTGGGGCCTCAGGGCTGGGTTTCTTGCGGGAGGTGTCCTGAGGTCGGGCTCCTGCCGTATGTTTCGCCTTTTGTTGTCTGTCTCCTCGGGCCCTCCACGGGGCCCCGAGGTTGTCAGCAAAGCATCGGCCCAGGGCGAAGCGCTGGTCCCCTGGGGGGACGGTCCCAGGGTCCAGGGCCCGGTTTCCTCGGGATCGTTTTTTGTTTCTTCATGCCAGCCTGCGCATGGGTTTCACTCGGGCGCGTCCCTCTCCAGGAGGAGGATTCAAACATAGGAAACACAACTGTCTGGGCACGATGTTTTGACAAATGTTGAGTATGTCTTGATTTGTGTTGGAGTCTTTCCAAGCTTTCGTCCAACATTCGCCTGTATGGGGGACATGCCCGACCTAATGCCAGCCTGCGCATGGACTCTTCGGAGCGCAGCGGTGTCGTCTTGGCCTGGGGGCTCACAGCATCACGCTCTGCGTCAGTGGCGGGGCTCGTTCTTGGGTGGCTTCGAGGCTTCGAGGCCCAGGTGCGCCCGTCAGTCCTGTCCGCATGCGCGAGGTTTCCACTGCCGTGCGTTGGTCCAGGGGATTGTCTGGACAGTGCCCGGGGGAGTTGGCGCGCGGGGATTAGTTTTGATCGCACCGTTGTTGGCGAGGGGTGGTGCGAATCAGAGCAGTCATGGCGCGTTGTTGTCATATGCTGTTCATCAGTTTCTGCCCCGAGCTTCTTGGCACGCCTGTCTTGCTTCTGTGGCTGCATCTGCATCGTCATCTCAGCTCCCTCCTCCGCTTCCAACGCACAGCTTATCCACATTTGAGTCGTATTCGGTGCGGGTCGTATCGTGCCACTTCTGCTTACTTGTCGTGTTGCATCCTCACAGCAGCCTTGACATTGAAGCGCCCAGGAAACATACCCCCCGAACAGCGACAACCACGCGTTCAGGTATTTCACATCACTGCGGTGGGCCTTGGCGCAGCTAGGCGGGAACGGGCGGCGCGAGTAAACGACGTGCTTTATAGTTGTGGTGAGTTGGGATTATACACGCGAGCGAACGAAACGGTGCGCGAGGGCTGCGGAGCCTTCTTTGCATTCGCATGTGGAACCGATGGCTAGGTCGTGCCAGCTGCTACAGGGCGTACGGGGGATGGGCAGCTTTCTAGTGTCGAGGTAAAGATTTAAACACACGCGACTACTCCCCGCAACACGCGTCTTGTCGAGCAGCTTGTTTGGCACGGTGTCAATGTCCTCAGACCATGGACAGGGTCAGGAAGCCGACGGAACAGCGTGCGTAATGGGTGACGCAGTTGGGCAGTCCAGACCAGCAGTGGGAGACATGGGAAGGAATATTTGAAGCACACTAGACTTGAATATTGATGACCTCGTCACCCGCATCATAAGCTTTACATGCAATGTGTATCGGCCCTTTTAACTTTACAATCTCTACTAAACGCCCTTCCCGCTTTCCAACCGTATTCCCCAGCACTGACCAGCATCTCCCAGGTGTATCAAGCCTCCCGAGCCTTGTCCAGGAGATCAGGAGATCTCAGCATTGGCTTCTCTTGCTCCTGTGTGTTGCTCAACCTCCCGAAGATCCCGTTGTCATGCGTCGCGTCTTCGCGCGCGCCATCTCGCGGGAGCACGGGCTGGCAGACCCCGGGCGAAGGCCTCCGGGTCGGAGGGGGGGCACTGCCACAGTAGTTTTCTCGTGTGCCTTGCGACTTGGCATCGCTCGGACGTGTGCATTTTTCTTTCGGCGAGGACCATCCAGGAGCATCCTTGATCGCTTGGCGGAAAAACCGCGTACGAAACCGAAAACAGCACAGGGAGTGGACGTCCGAGCGATGGCCAGCACGAATTCAGTCGCGCGTTCCTCGCGTTTCTCGCGGGTCGCCTGCCGTGCGGCCGCACGGCCGAGGCAGGGCCGCTCCGGTGCAGATTGTCTGGCGTTGCCGATTTGTCTATGCACGGCTTGGTTGTTCCTTCGGTCGCCTCCGGGTTCCTGTGCAAGGCGTACCTTTGCATGCCCGTCGCCTTCGGCACCGCCTGTTCCCGGGGCTGTGCCCTCTCTTGGCCTCGACGTGAGGCCCCTCCTCCTGTCTTCCCCCGTCTGTCCATGAAAGCTGTGCGCGGCCCGCTTGGCTTCGACCGAGCGAGGCTCGCTTTCGACCCGCGGATCAAGACAGTTTTGTCCTTCAGCGTCTTTGCACGTCAGCTGATGCATCGGCAGTGCAGAGCCTCTTGCCGCTGCGGTGCAGTTTTTTGCCCACGCGTGGGTTCCTCCAGCCACGAGCCGCCCCTGTGGGACATCTGGAATGGCGCGGAAATCCTGTTGCCAAAGGCTCCCTCGAGGGCGCGAAGTTATTCGCGCTTCGCGCTTCGCGGTCCTCGATCCTTCTCCCCCTCCTCCTCGTCCTCCTATTCTCCTTTTGGGAGGGCGGCGCGAGAGCGCGAAGTTATTCGCGCTTCGCGCTTCGCGCAGCGCGAAGCGCGAAGTTGGGAGCCCTAGGAAATCCTGTTGCATGGGTTCTTTGGGCGTCAGAGCTTGCGCACTGGATGCCTCTGCCTAAGATAGGTCCCAGCCCTGGTCTCCGACCCTTGTTCAAGGGAGTCCGGATAATCGTCATACGTCCCGGGTCAAGCTGCTTCGTGCACGCCACGACATTAGGACCCAGTATGGGTTTTTGAGCATGTGTTGCTTTTTGCCCGGTGAAGTGATCTCGAAACGTCACCTGATGTGCAACATCGCGAGTGACAGTAACAGGGGGAGCATCGCGGTGTGATGCGGCAGGTGTCAGGATGAGTCGGATTCTTCTGTGGGCCTCTGAGGAACCCGATGCATACACCACTTCGTTTGGGCGGCTTTTGAGCCGAGGATTTCGGCGAATATGTTTTGCCCTGATGCTCCAGAATCCCACAGGTTGGGACGCTGAGGGGTCGATACGCCGACCAGACGACATCGTGTATACCTCGAGCCCCTCCCAGTGCGCAGTGCGCCCACTGCAGAGCAAGCGTACTGCGGGACATGCCGGCGCGGTGGAAGGGTTCGGCGACTCGCAGATCTACCCCCAGAATTGGCTGGAGTGCTGCCGCTGCCGGCTGCCGTTGTTGCCAGCACCTCTTGCACCATGGCACTTGTTCCTCTTGTGCAAGTCTGGCCGCCAGGGGCATCTCTCCTCCTCGGCACCACTTCTGCCGAGTCTAAGGAAGGAGGTCGCGTGGTCGGCGGGGACGCATGTTCAGGATACTCTCTGTATTTGTTGTGCTTAAAAAGTTGAGGAAGTTTTAGAGTGTGTACCGTATTTATGTTGTCGTGCCCCTCATGAGTACCGTTCGATCGCACCACCAGATGTGGGGCGAAGCGACGTGCCCACGCCATACTTACTTGTCCTTGTGATGAAGTCTTCGCCCTGAGAGCTACTCTTCGTCATTTCGGCTCGACGCAGCCCGAATACTCGTCCAGATGGCGCCAGGGGGGTCTGGAGACTTGATCTGAATGGGTTTGGGCCAAAAGGCTTCCTTGCCGAGGTGCGTGTGGACAAGTGGGCCTGGTGATGCGCCACTCCGGCTGCAAGTCTGCCCCGCCGCGCTTCCTTTTTATTGCGCTGTTCCACACCTGTCCAAGCGCTTGTGGCCCAGCCCCCGGGCGCGCGCACGCGGGCCTCAACCCCCGACTGGAGCCTTGCCCCTGTTTTGGGGCACTTTCGGGGGTGGACAGACCTCCTACCCTGACACGTCGATTAAGGAGTTGGCCGTTTTCGGTTCGCGAGAGGGCGTCGCGGCCGTCATTTTTGCGGGTCCAGGTCCGTCGGTTTCGGTCCCAGGCCGTTTTCAGTAAGGGGAGGTCTATTAAAGGGAGGCTTGTCCACCGCCGACATTTGGCCCACGTCCCAGATCATGGCACTCCATGGGGTCGCAGAGCATCCAATCCTTTAACCCAAAGCTCTGGGCCTCCTAGACAGGGCCGGGGTAGATGGAGTCGGAAGATCGCGCCGCATCGGCGATGCATCTGCGATGGCTCTCGATGTGGATCCCGATTTTCTCCTCGCCGATGGCACCGATGCCTCGCCGATACATCGCCGATGCGTCGGCAATGTATTGCCGATGCATCGCCGATGCGGCGCGATCCTCCGACCCCATCTTCTCGGACCCCATCTAGGAGGCTTCTCAAAGCGGCATGCTCTCCGCATCATTCAATTGCACCGTCGTCTTCTTTCGTTCTCTGCCCCAGCCCAGGGTCCAAGTCTCGCCCCCCCTCGTCTGCCCACGCCTCCTCGCTTGCCCTCCTCCCTCTCCCGCAGGGCGGCTCTGTTCTTCGAAGGAGGAAAAAACAGATAAACATGAACTTTTGGCGCTCCGCGCGAATTTCTTGGATCCGCGCCTGGGCTCTGCGCGCCAGGGAGGGGGGTTCAGCGCGAATCCAAGAAATCGGCGCGGAGCACCAAACATTTCTGTTTATGGCGTTTTCTCTTCTTCTAGATTCGAAGGTGAACCGAGACGTTCTCGATCCGATCCGTTCTCGCGGCCCGATCCCCAGCTCCGGCCCGACAGACGTGAGGGTAGGCCATTCTGCATGTGCCACCCCCCGATTCCGCAGTCTGGCCGCGACGGAAAGATGATGAGGCCCGAGGCCAAGAACAGCTGGGGTTCAGCCGCAGATTTGCCAATCAGAAGAACTGTACCGTCTGCTGTCCATAACCCTGTGGTGTACTACCTCCGAGGCGGTTGCCCTGCCGAAGTGGTCCCAACACACTTGCACTCAGTTCGCTTCGGCTCCTTGCAGTTGTCCGATGGATCTGTTTCGGAAGTTTCGACTCTCTTGGTGATTTCTATACACATACTCAGATAAGAAGAGGGCGTGTGTATACATACATATGTATATATATAGATATAACTTTGTTTGCACATGCGTATGTACATGTATTTATATGCAGACATTCGTACGTATTCTCACAGGCATATGTGTGTGCCTGGGCCCATTCAAACAGCAATGCGGGACCACCGATGTGGCTGCCACACAGCTTGCGATAATACGATATGCAAATGATCACACATGTGGGCGTGAAGAAACGGAGGTCGGAGCAACGTTGTAGGATGCCATTGTAAGCCAAATATCAACACATGGGTTCCAGAGTGGTGTGCAACATTACCAGATCAATTGTGGTGCTTGACGTTTCTCATGTGACGCTGAAGAGCTGATCGGCAAACCATTGAAACAACAATTGCGTTTGAACGCGTATGTGCACAACCAGTGGAGCTTACTGTGTGTGCTCGAGATGTTTTTTCAAATTGTGAAATACCTGTTTACTTTTTGACCTTGGCGGTACGATCTGCGTGAGAGGCGCGCCCGAGTTTATACTTTTGAGGGTGTCCCGAGCGAAATGGTCAGACGCAGCGGGGAAGGAACGGCTTCACCAATACTGGTCTCCAAGCTATATTTATTCGGAGAGGTGCATATGTAATGATACGTGTGTGCAAAAGCGTGTGTACATTCAGACATATACAGTACATGAACAATTCTAGACGTGCATATATAGGTGTATGTGTAACTATACTGTGTTTCTTTTTTCTCTTTATGTATATTTCTCCTTATCTTTCTTTTTCTCTTTATCTTTCTCTCTCTCTCTCTTTCTCTCTCTCTCTCTCTCTTTCTCTCTCTCTCTCTATATGTATATATCCACGCTGATGCATGGCCCGGTGGGTCGCCTCAATTCTTCGACACGCAATTTGCACGTTTCGATTGTTTTTAGACATCGTGGCTAGAGGGATTGTTTAGCACGGACTCATGTCCGCTGCCCCTTGCGCACATCCGCATGGCCATCTGTTTGCGTCCGTACGTTTCTGCTCGTTCTGTGAGTTTTTGTTGTAAGGTCTGGGCTGACGGGCAGCGGGATCGAGTTCGCGTTCCTATTTCTTTGATCTCCGTCAACCTAGATATCTTGTTACGCAGTTGTCGATAGTGCGTCGTTCCGCTCGACATTTGACCATGCGATTCGCATTCGGATGATTTCAAGCGAGAGCGTGAGCACGTCATCGCTCTGAGTCTTCGGAGGGCACATCGCGGCATCTGTCTTCTTTTGGCTGCGGAGCCCAGGAAAGCCTGTTTGCAGTATTTTTCTCCGTGATTTGCGTCATCACGATGACCCATTTGATCGGCTTGATCATCACCAGCATGATCAGGCGCTCCCTCCGCGGCCTAGGCAGAGACCAGACATACAATGACCCAGACGTCGCTAGTGGAGATTAGTTCAGGTCTCTCTCGGAGGCCGTCTTTGGCCGTCGTGCAAGCCATGTTATGCAGGCAGGTCTTTACAGCCCAGGATGCGTCGGGACACTTGGGGAGCATTTGGATTGGAGAGAGCTGGTGAACGCAAATATTTGATTGAAGTATGTTAGGCTCCAGGCACTAGTGAATATCGGTACGCATGTGGTATAGTGGTACCTGTATTGACACGTGGTGCGATGTATAGAACATATGTGGAGGTAGAGCTGAATAAAGAGTGATTGACGCAAACGGAGACAGCAAGCGCTATCACGCCGACGAGCGAGCAGGCGCATGGTGTCACGCGTGCTGGCATTTTCAGGCAATCGGACACCAGCCAGCGCGCAAGCACAAACAGACATGCACTTGCCTTGGGTCTGCGTCCTGGGGCCATCGGGCAGGAGAAGGGAGGAGGATGAGGCCCTGGCATGCCCGAGCATCGAACTCGAACAAACATACATATCCATCAATGTTCGGGGGTCTGCGCGGATTTCTGTTGTCGGCGTTGGACTGGACACCCTGTTTGCGCCTCCGGCGCCGCCACTTGCGCAATCCGCGCGCCAGAGGAGGGGTCGCAGGCCTAGAGGTTGACACCAACACCATTATCGGCGCTGTGCCTCAGCCGAGGGAAAAAGAACACGATCTCGGTGATGGTGGTAATATTATGGCTTCCAGGGTGACCGAACTATTACCACCAACACCGAAATCTGGGATCGTCTTCCGCCTGTGGGGGCAACCCCCTGTGTTGGTGTTGGTGCCCATTTCCAGGCCTCCACAGGGGGTCCAGCGCCGACCCGAGAAGTCCGCGTGGATGCCAGAAAAAATACGGTGTTGCTGGCTTCTGCACCCTCTTCCTGGCATCGCTCGGACGTGTGCATTTGTTTCTCGGCGAGGACCATCGAGGACCATTCTGGACCATCGAGCAAAAAAACACACGCACGAAACCGAAACATGCACGGGAAATGGACGTCCGAGCGACGGCAGGTCTTAGGGCAAGCCCCATCGGACGAGAGGTGAGGACCTCTCCTCGGAGACGTGCTCCGCAGCCCGCGGGGCCCGGCTGCTCGCGGTTCCCGTGGGCCTGGGCCTCCGAGAATGGGGGCCGAGGAGATGGGGTCGGAGGATCGCCGACGCACCGCCGACGCATCGCCGAAGCAGCGACGATGCGGCTCGACGTGGAGACCGTGCTTCCCCACGCCGACGTCGCCGATGCATCGCCGATGCATCGCCGATGCATCGCCGATGCATCGCCGATGTATCGGCGAGGCGGCGCGATCCTCCGACCCCATCTCCTCCGACCCCATCTGGGAGGCCGAGAATACCAGACTACCCCCCTCCTCCTCCTCCTCCTCCTCCTCCTCCTCCTCCTCCTCCTCCTCCTCCTGCTGCACACGTCCCCCCTCCGACCCCATCTAAGGGGCCTCCTAGCGGGAGCGCAGGGGTGATTGCCACCCTCCGCGGAGGGGGGGCAGCCACTGGCACCGCATCGCGCAGCCACGGCGTTGTCGACCGCGGGTCTCGTCCATGCCCTGGATGCGGGAGGGACACGACGGGGGCGGGATGTACAGGAGGAATCGAAGAACAAAAAACGCCATAAATATAAAAACTTTTGGCGCTCCGCGCGGACTTCTCGGATCCGCGCGGGGCCCCTCGGCGACGCTTCCAGCGCCGCCCCGGGCGCGCTCCGCGCGCCAGGGAGGGGGTCCCGCACGGATCCGAGAAATCCGCGCGGAGCGCCAACAGTTTGTGTCTATGGCGTTTTTGTTTGTTTTCTCCTAAGGAAAAGCGCGGGATGTGCAGGAGAAAGTCAGATGAGGAATAGATGCCCATACTGCTACCCTTCGCCCGTTTCCCCTTTTTAGGCCTCCTGGGAGGGACTCATCGCCACCGCTAGATTCACGTCGAAATCCTGGTCAGAACGCACCCTGGGAGAGACCCCGGGGGGTACCGATGATTTCCCCAGGAAGGGGGGGGGGGGAAAGGATGGGGACGAGGGAGGTGGTCGAAGGGAAGTGTGCGAGAGGGTTAGCGTTGCCCGTTCGCCCCGCACCCCCAGGCTACAAGACGGCAAGCGGGAGGTGACCGCGCAGGAGGCGGACATGCGTGAGTACCTCCGCCAACACGAGGTCAGTTACGACCTCCAGGATCGCTGCTGCTCAAGATTGAACGCGGAATATATAGCAACCCGCAATTGCGGATAAGAGTAAGGGGGCGGGCGCGAGCGACGCGGGCGTCGTCGAGCCGGCGGACCTCGTGGCCCCCACCTTCCCTATCGATGGCGCTCTCCTCCTCCTCCTCCTCCGTCCTCGTCCTCATCGTCATCGTCCTCCTCCTCCTCCACCTCGTCCTCCTCCTCCTCCTCTTCTTCCTCGTCCTCCCTCTCCCCCCCTCGTCCTTTCATCATCGTCCTCCCATTGTCGTCCTCCCCTTCATCGGCCTCCATGATCGTCCTGCTCCTCCTTTTTTTCTTTCTCCACATTCTCCTTACATCCTCTCTTCTTCCGCGTTCTCCTCGTCCGCTGTTTACTCCTCCTGCCTCCTCCTCCTTACCCAAGATAACTGCAACGCAATCCTTTTTTCCACTTTATGCTCCCCGCCTTCTCTGATCAAGGCAACTCGCCAGGGCAGAGTTGCTGGACGGGCTGGTGTGGATGCGCGGGGCTTGAAGAGGTCCTTGCGGCCTCAGACGGCATGCCAAAATCCGCCGCCGCGCTTGTGCGGCATTGGTTTGTTCAATGAACGTGGTTTAGGTCGCGGGCTTTCCACCTCCACCTGGAAGGAATGCAAAAGCAGCCCGCCGCAGGCGCCCAAAAAATTGGTCTGTACACTGAACGTGGGTTGGGTCGCGGGTGGGCCGCGGGTTCTCCACCGGGAACGAATGCAAAAGATGCCCGCCGCAGGCGCCGAAAAATGAGGTTTGTACCCTGAACGTGGTCGCGGGTGGGCCGCGGGCTCTCCACCTGAAACGAATGCAAAAGATGCCCGCCGCAGGCGCCGAAAAATGTTGTTCGTATCCTGAACGTGGTTTGGGTCGCGGGTTGGTCGCGAGTTGGTCACGGTGTGGGTCGCGGGCTCTCCACCTGGAAGGAATGCAAAAAAAACCCGCCGCAGGCGCCGAAAATGGTGGTTTGTACCTTGAACGTGGTTTGGGTCGCGGGTGGGTCGCGGGATAGGTCGCGGGTGGGTCGCGGGTGGGTCGCGGGTGGTGGGTCGCGGGTGGGTCGCGGTTGGGTCGCGGGTGGGCCGCGGGCGGGTCGCGGGGTGGGTCGCGGGTGGGTCGCGGGTGGTGGGTCGCGGGGTGGGTTGCGGGGTGGGTAGCGGGGTGGGTCGCGGGTGGGTCGCGGGTGGGTCGCGGGTGGGTCGCGGGGTGGGTCGCGGGGTGGGTCGCGGGTGGGTCGCGGGGCGGGTTGCGGGTGGGACGACGACAACAAACAACAACAACAACAACAACAACAACAACAACAACAACAACAGACAACAACAACAACAACAACAACAACAACAACAACAATTACAACAACAACAACAACAACAACAACAACAAACAACACACAACACACAACAACAACAACAACGATAATCCGCACCGCGGAATTCCAGTTCAGCCACGCACCCAGGGACAGTGAATGACCGTTCGGCCCCCTCACTGTGACGTGTATGTGCATACGTGTGGGCAGACATGCGCCCATGTGCGCGAATGGGTCCTCACCAGATTGGTGGGCAATCTTCGTGTGCCACATTTTGGGGCCGCACCTTGCTGCCACACGAGGATTTCACACTCGAGGGGCACACCTTTTGGCCACGCCTCGGGGCTCGCGCACCCCCGCTTCACCAGCGAACGATGGTTGTCAGACATCGGTGGACAAATCGAGGAGGTCCTCTAGATGCGATGCGCATGTGCATATGTATGTGTATGCGATGTGTGTATGTGATCTACCGATCTGTGTCGTTACGAGCCGAAACGCCACAGTTGCGCATAGGAGAGTGAGGAGAGCAACGGAAGCATCGCATTCTGGGCGGCTCGCTGGCGGGTCGCGCGGACCGGGGTACGTTTCGGCGTCCCCCGAAGACAGTGCAAAGCCGTCCGCCTTGGCTCGAAAAACCAAACAACTGCATAAACCACAACAATCAGTGATCCGCGCGGATTTCTTGGATCCGCGCTGGACATGCCTCCTTGGCGCGCGGAATGCGCCAGGGGCGCCGGGAGGCTCCAGCGCAGGTCCAAGAGGTCCGCGCGGACCTCTGACAGATTCTGCTTCTACAGCTTTCTGTGCCCTTTTTTCCAGTAGAGAAAAACACAGATGCAGATAATCGTCGATTCCCTCGAACATTTGGAAAACGTGGGAAGTGGAGGGGAAAACGAACATCCAGAACGTATTGGAAATGAGGGGAATCCTGAGATTAGTGTATTTTTTTTGTGTGTCCCTGGGCCCCCTCACTATTCGGCGCCTCTTGTGTTTGGTAGTGAATCCTGAGAGCCTTGTGTACCCTCGTAAATTTGTCTTCAGAGTGCACTAGCGCCGACTAGCGTCTGGTAATCGATCAGATAGTGCCGAGCTAACGTCGATTAGCGTCGACGATCGTCGATTACCGTCGATTTGGCATCGATTAGCGTCGCTTTAGCGACGATCTGTGTCGACGGCGTCAATTCGCAAGAACCAGCAAGTTGGTACTGGAGGCTCCCATGAGTTGCCGCAGAACTTCTCTTTCCTTCCTGGGTATCAAAGCAGCGTTGGCGGGTCTCCCAGCGGGGCGGCGACGGCGTGGGGCTGGCCGCGGGGCGGGCCACGGGCCCGGTCGTGGGGCGGTGTCGCGGGCTGAGCCGCGGGGCGGGTCGCGGGGCAATCCGCTGTTGGGAGCCGCGGGGCGGTGACGAGGACGAGCACAGCAATCCGCTTGATGGAATTCGAGGCTTCCTAGATGGTGTCGGAGTAGATGGGGGTAGGAGGATCGCCTCGCATCGCCGATGCATCGGCGACGCGGCTCGATGTGGGGCCCGATTTGCTTCACGTCGACGTCGCCGATGCATCGCCGACGTTGCGGATGCGTCGCAGTGCATCCCCGATGCAGCGCCGATGCATCGGCGATGTGGCGCGATCCTCCGACCCCATCTGCTCGGACCTATCTAGGAGGCCTCTAGGAACGCGTGCCAGGGAACTCATAGGAGGAAAGGGTACGAATACCGTTGCCCCTCGCCTGTTATTCCACTTCTTGGGCCTCCTGGGAGGCCCTCGTCGCCACCGCAGGATTCGCTTCGAATTCCTTGCCAGACCGCACCCTGGGAGAAGTCAGGGGTGTAGTGGTATCGGTATCTGTTGGTTTCCGCAGGAACGTTAGATCGTTCCCATTGCGCGAAAAGGGTCCGCTTCTAGGAAAGCAAGGAATACCGATAGCGCTACTCCGCGGACCTATCCCGAGGTGCGGTCTGACCAGAAGTTCGACGAGAATCCAGCCGCGGCGGCAGGGGCCTCCCGCGAGGCGCCCAAACGGCCCAAGCGGGGCAAAGGGCAACGCTGTATCGGTACCAGTTTCTCCTCTGAGCTTCACGCCGGGCTGGTGCTGGTGGACTCGGCCTGCCCTGGTTCACCGCGCCCGCGGCCGAGCGCAGGACCGCATCTGGCAGGTCTTGCGGGAAGTGCAGGGCGACGCCCATCGGACCCGCTGCGTGCCCGCACGCCCTCCCGCCTCCGCCTCCCTGGGGCGCCTTGCGTGCGTGCGTGCTTGCGTACATACGTACACGTATACATACATACATGCATACATACAAAAGCACACACACACACACACGCACAGACACACACGCACACACACACACACACACAAACACGCAAGCGCGCACGCACGCACGCACGCACGCACCCACACACACACACATGCACACACACACACGCACACGCACACGCACACACACACACTCTCACACACACACACGCACAAGCACAAGCACAGTGTTCCTTTCCCAGTCGGCGGATGGTACGGTCAGCGTGTGCAAGCGAGCAACGCTAATGTGCACACACACACGCTGCCAAACACCCCTTACAGAGGCCAGGAACAAACCAAACTCGGATGTGCCTCGTCCACTTCGGCTGTCGGCGTTGTTTCAGGGAAGCCTCCTTGGCTGCTTTGGCCCCGGGGTTCTTTTGGTGGTCACGCCTTCCCCGCTTCCCTCCTTATCCTTACCCAGCTCGGCTCCTCCTGCCCCATTGCCATCTCCTGCCGCTGCTGCTTTGTGTTACTATCGGTAATTTTGCCTGGTTGCGCCGGAAGGTAAGTGCCAGAAAGAAGGGGAGATCGCGTCCTACAGGTACGACCATCCTTTGCATGCGTTCCAGGCGTATCATGTCAGTATCTGGGCGCCATATGCCGTTTCCAGCTATCTTGCATGTTTGCTTTGGCCCTGTGCCATTGTCTGATTGTGCTTGTTCGTCTCCCTTCCTCTCCCCCAGTATCCCCCCCCTTTGACTGCTTGCCTTGCGCTCCAAGATGCAAGTTTTGGGATGCAAGCGTCCAGTTTGGCGATAACCAGGAGTCGGGTGGCGCTATCTACAGTGCGGGCCCATGTCAAGAAACACCCTGCTTGCCTCCAGGGTGCCCTGGGTTCCTTGGGTTTCGATGGTTTTGCTGTGGAAGGTGTGACGTTCCTACACCAAAAATCAATGCACGTCCTGGGGTCTCAGGGTTAGGTTTCTTGTGGGAGGTTTTTTTGGGTCGGGCCTCCACTATCTACACTCACACTGATCTTGGCTGGGACGAAGCTGGGTCCGAGGTCGGTGTACCCTCTTCGTCCAGAGCGGGCCCAGCTGGCCTCGGTATTGGTGCAGGGCTGTCGGTTTCCTACCGAGAACCATTGCTCGAACACGATGAAGCTCTCGGGGCGGCGCTGGACTTAAGTCGGTCGGGCATGTCCCCCTACACGAGGAGTATTCCAAAACAGTATGGAAATAGCCTTGGGACGATTTTTCGACCATGGTTGAATATGTTTTGACTGTTTGTCAATCTTCTTCCAGAGTCCGCCTGTAGGAGGGCATGCCCGACCCTCCCTCCCCCCCATCCCCACTCCCCCTTCCACGCGCCGCTCGGGGCGCGCCGTCCCCAGCGTGGGGATCGCCGTGCAGGGGGCCTTGGGGAGGGGGGTCCGGCGCCGACTTCCGCGGGGTTGTGTGCGGATTGGGCTCTGCTGTCGGTGTAGGCCGCCTCGATGGGGTCGGGGTGGATGGGGGTTGGAGGATCGCGCCGCATCGCGGATGCATCGGCGATGCGGCTCGATGTGGGGCCCGATATGCTTCACGTCGACATCACCGATGCATCCGCCGACGTCGACTATGCATCGCCGTCGCATCACCGATGCATCGCCGATGCATCGCCGATGTATCCGCGATGCGGCGCGATCCTCCGACCCCATCTGCTCGGACCCCATCTCGGAGGCCTCTAGTCTGATAGCCTGAGGGGAAGAGGTTCTTCGTCGTCATCGTCGAAGACGAATGTGGGTATGAGGGAAGTGGGTCCTAGTGGAAAAGGTTCCTGGCCACCAGGGCCTTCCCTATGGCAAGCTTGTGGTCGTGACGCATTTCTGTTACGGCCCCAGACCCAGGGAGGCCCCTGCCTGGTTGCCTGAAAGCCAGCAGAAAGGTCCAGGACCTTTCTCCTTTCGAGGGAGAGGGGCGGAGGGAGGGGGCTGCGAGCCTCAGAAGACGAGGATGGCTCTCCTCATCCTTCAGAGCATGACGTGAGTTTTGATGACACGCGCGTCGCGGTCCAAACCGTGCGTGTTACCCACTCGCCGTCTGTGCATCAGATCCTGCCGCCCTGTGCAGGAGGATCATGAGGAGGGGGAAGAGGAGAAGGAGAAGGAGGAGGAGGAGGAGGTGCAATATCACTCCATCATAGCACTTCATTCGGTACCAGGGACCATGGAGGCGGCTACTCTGTCACCACTGTTCGCTCAGCATGTGTGCGCCACTGAACAGGAAGCTTTCTAAATTAGACACTAAGCTTGCCAGATGAGGGCAGAGACGTGAACCGTGCAGGGCCTCTGACAGCCTGTTTGGTTGAGCTCGACAGGTGGTGGCAGGGGGCTGCTAGTGCTGCTTGACTGCGCTTGTTCTTCGGTGGGCATCTATCCATAATCACGGGGGGATCTTTCCACATCCACCCCGCCCGCTGAGATCCCAAGACGCGGTTCCTCAGGTGGTGGATCAGGATAAATCCCCGTCTCGCATTTGTGCGCAGGACGAAGGAGGAAAACGTCGACCTCATCAAGCAGCTGCCCAACAGCCTGGAGATCGAGCTCCGTGCCGAGGCCGGGCCATCGGCTCCACAGCACCGCTTTTGGGGGGGGGAGGGAAAGGGCCTTGGGCACCAAGTGCCCCGCAGAGGGAGAAGCTGGTTTGATCCCGAGTGCTGCAACCGTTGAGATTGCTTTGTTTCTGCTCTGGCGCGTGACGGTCGTTACCCGCCCCCCCCCCCCCGCGGGTACGGGTGACGATTGTACGCATCGGGGCCCAATAGACGGGGGTCAATGCAAACGGGGGTCAGTCAGAGCGCCGGATCTTTCAGGATCTTGCAGGGCCAGGGTCGCACTGATCCGGGCTTGCGTGCAGGGCACTGTGCCGATCGCAGCGCACCCTCGCCCCGCCCTGCCCCGCTCCCTGCCCCCCTCCCCGCCGAAGCGCCACCGTTACCCGACCCCTTCCCTCCCCTCCCCCTGGGCAGCAGGAGATCGTGAAAAGCAATGTCCTCAGGGGCAGCTACCGCGGGCGATTGATAGGTTCGTTCGCGATGATCGACCGGCTCCACTGCTCCCCTCTGGTACCGCTCCTCGATCTGTGGGGTTTGCGGGTTGTTCTAGTAATTCGGCCAACCTACAGAGCAGGGCTCAGGCCAGAGTGCACGAGGTCCCCGAGCGATGCCAGGAGGTTCTATCCTGGACCCTCTCAGAGGGACGTTTTCCCCGAGGCCTCTTTGCAAGGCTGATGGGCCCAGTCGGGCCCAGGGGTGTTCTTCACACGACCCCGTCACTTGCCATTCCCAGTCCGATGCCATCCCTCCCCAGGGCTGTTCGCGACCCGATCCGATCCAAAGCGACCCCCAGCTGTCGATCCCGATCCGACCCAGCACGACCTCGGCCCCACTGCTTTGCTCAGGAGGGAGAAAACACACACAGACACGATTCATCGTCGACTCCCAGAAGAGATGGGAGAATGTGGGAGGTGGGGGGGAAGACAAAAAAACTCAGAAAACATATGCGAAAATAGGGGGAATCCTGTTTTTGGTGTGTATTTTAGGGCGACGAGGTCTATACATGTCCACTGCTCCTGGCCAGTCCCATCCTGGGCCCAGGATCTGTGTATACCCCCTCCTGGCTTGGCCAGGGAGGCACACACACAGCTCCTGGGCCCAGGATGGGCCTGGCCAGGAGCAGCGGATATGTGTAGACCTCGTGGCCCTATACTTATTTGTGTGTCCCAGGGCCCCTTCCTTTGCGGCCTGCAGGGGCCGGCGGTCTCTCCCCCTGGGTCCCGGGGCGAGGTCCGCTCCCGCGCCGCCTCCGCGACGGTCCGGGGCGCGATCCGCTCCGTGTCCGATCCCTTTCGCCGCAGCGCCGACGCGTCCACGATGCATCGCCGCTGCACCGCCGATGCACCTCGAATCGGGCGACGAAATCTATACATATCCACTGCTCCCTGGCCAGGCCCACTCTAAACCCAGGAGCTGTGTATACGCCCTCCTGGCCCAGCCAGGAGGGTGTGGCGTATACACTGCTGCTGGGTTCACGGTGTGCCTGGCCAGGGAGCAGTGGATATGCATAGATTTCGTCGCCCTATCGAAGAGGAGAAAAAACCCATGAGCATAGAAACTTCTGGCGCTCCGCACGGAGTTCTCAGAGTTTGCGCTGCGCCCCCCCGGGCGGCGCCTCCTGCGACGCCCCGGGCGGCGCTCCGCGCGCCGGGGAGGGGGGGTCCAGCGCAGGTGCGCGAAATCTGCGCGGCGCGCCGGAATGGTATGTGTCTGGCGTTTGCTGCTTCTTCGAGGTGCCTCGGCGGTGCATCGGCGCCCTCGTCGTAGAGGAAGGCGGGCTCCACATCGAGCCGCACCGCCGATGCATCGGCGATGCGGCGCGATCCTTGGACCCCGTCTGCTCGGACCCCATCTGCTCCGATCCGTTTTTTTGTCATTGTTTTGCCGATCGGCGCGAGCCCTCGCCCTCCCCTCCCCCTCCCCATAGACCAGATCTTGGCTGCTTGTGGTGGCTGCGTTTGGCGACTGGTCAACACGGCCACCCCCAGTCTGCCTGCGCGAGTGGCGGAAGCCGCTCGACTGAGCAAAGGCCCAGACCCAGCCCCCACTATCCCCCACCCTTCGGCCAAGTGCCGAATTTTTTAGAGTAAGCAGAAACGCCTACGTTCGAGCCCGCTCAGGCTTGCCTCCCTCTCCTCATTCCCCGGCCCATCCCGTCGGGATCCCTCCGTGGACGTGCCGAGGTGCTGCGGGCCCCCCCCACGCGCACAGACCCCGCTGTAGAGCGCACTCGAGGAGCTGGGGCAATTTTTGTATCCCCCTTCGCTTTCGGCGAGTCGTGACCCGTGCTCCGGATGAGACCGCCGCCGCCTTCCTCCCTCCTCCCTCATCCCTCCTCCCTCCTCCCTCCTCCCTCCTCCTCCTCCTCCTCCCTCCTCCTCGTCCTCCTCCTCCTCGTCCTCCTCCTCCTGGCGGATTCGGAGCTCCGCGCTCGGATTCCCTGGACCGGCGCTCCGCGCCCCCCTGGCGGCCCTTCGGCGCCGCGCGCCGGGGAGGGGGGTCCGGCGCCCATCCCAAGGAGTCCCCACGGAGCTCCAAACGCTGCAGTTTGTGCAGTGCGTCGCTCCCCGATCCCCCCTCTCCTCCTGCAGTGGAGGCCCATGCCAAGAAGCACCCTGCTTGCCTCCAGGGTGCCCTGAGTTCCTGGGGTTTCGATGGTTCTGCTGAGAAAAGCGTGACGCTCCCACACTCGAAGTCAAGTGACGTCCTGGGGTCTCAGGGTTGGGTTTCTTGTGGAAGGTTTCTTGTGGACTGGCCTCCTCCTCTCGTCCACTGGGGCCCTCTGCCATCGCCCCGCCTTTCAGGACCAGCCTGTCACTTCGCGATAGCAACGGGACCCATCTCCAGCTATGGAAGCCCTCGGTCAGGGGATTGGGTGCCAGAGGAGACTACCAAACCAAAGCACTCCCCCTCCCCGAGTCCCGAGTCCCCTCGTTGTAGGGGAGGTGTATGAGGAGGAGGAGGAGGAGGAGGAGGAGGAGGAGGAGGAGGAGGTTCGGTATCGACATGTTTTTGCCACCCCCACCAGAGTGCGTCATGGAAGCCTCCCGAAGAGTTCCTTGGAGGGCCACGGGACACATTATTACAGGTGGGGAGCGCACACCCCCAAACAACCTACCGATGCCTCGTAAAAGGTGTGCGAGGCGTCCCAGAAGTGCCCGAGAGCGCTCGGAACTTTTGGCATTGAGCCTTTGAAGGGAATTGTTAATCTCAATCCCGAGAACTCGGAAGGACTTGATGACACTCCACTCAGTGCGTACGCGTTCGGCTTGCATCTCATTCGGTTTGGGGGGCTTCATGTCTGGCAATTGTTTCATTGATTTGTGTGTGGGTGTGTATACGTGTGTGTGTGTGTGTGTTTGTGTATGGGGGGGACGTCCTCAAGGCTCTAGGAGAAGTTTTGGGGGTCTTTAGTTTGTCCCGAATGAGATTCTTAGTCAGGTTGTGGGGCCGTATGAGATCCATCTTTGAATTTCCTGGGGCGAACTCGGGGCGACCACCTGGGAACCTCTCGGAGCGCACTAAGGCCGCCCTGAGACCCCGCGCTGGTCGTCGTTGTTGATTCATCGTTTTGCCGATCGGCGCGAGCCCCCGCGCCCCCCCACCCCCCCCCCAGAGTAGATCTTGGCTGTTTTTGGCGTCTGGTTCGGGCAGGTGGGGTGTCCCCATTTAGGACGCACGGTTCCAAACAGTCGCACTGAGCAGAGGTCCGGAGCCAGATCCCCCCCCCTCCCCCTCCTTCCGCCCAATGTCGAAACGCCGAATCAGAAAAAGCGTTCACCTGGGAGTGTTCGTTTCGCTCATCCACCCTCGCCAACGAAAAGAGAATTCGGCACAGGACCCATACGAAAGATGCAGCCGAGAGCCAGTATAATTATGGGGACCTCCGAGAGCGAAGATCGTATCATACGCGGAGCGGCTGCCGCGACAGAAGCCATGGCCGACCTCTGTACGGCAGGTGCCGAGTAATGATCATAGTTGCGTTGGGTCGAAGTCTTTGTTGTCAGTTCACAGGACGAGTTTGCAAGCTGTGCTCCAAAGGTTGTCGTTACTTGTGGACGTGTAGCAGCTTCACAACGAGCACGCGGGCGAGGGAGCAGCGAACGTTTTCGGGTCATGCCTGTAGCTGTTGGCGCGGAGGTAGGATCTAATCACACAGTCTGGGTTGTCTCCTTTTCGCCTCTTCCTCCCTCCTCTCCAAAATAGCGCTGGAAAAAAACACACAGTCTGGGATTGTGGCCTTCATACGCTATTTGATTATGTGGGTGCTACCTTTGCCCGCGCCTCCCGCAGGTGTTCGTTCCCACGCTGACGTGCCACCCGTTCTTCGGCGGGAGCGGGCCTGCAGGGGTGCTGACGAGAGAGTTGACCTGGCACTCCTGCCGACTGCCCGTCGGCTCGTCGGCCAACCGTTCGCAGACTTCGGCGGGCCGCTCGCGTCTGGTGCGTGCGGCAAGTTCGCGCCGCGTCGACACTGGTGCGTAAGTTTCCCGCGTAAGGTCGCGCGTGAGCGCCATCGTTTTCAACGTAGCGTGCCGAGCTGGCGGTCCTCGTAAGCCACTGCGCAAGGTCGCTGCGCCCTCGTGCGCAAGACCTCTTTCTTTGCGCTGGTCGTGTGGAGGCCGAGCTCGAATTTCCACCACCGCTGCCAGACGTAGGTAGGAGAGGGAGGAGGAGGAGGAGGAGGAGGGGGAGGAGATCCTCCCCATCCTCCCTTCTCCCCCGTCCTGCCTACCTCTGGCAGTGACGGCGCAACGTTGGCGCATCGGCCTGGGCCTCGCCGGTCTCCCAAGCCCACCCGCAGGGCCGCGACGAGGAGCGCCCACTTCGCGCCCCGCCGGCACTTGGCCGCAGAGGCGTCGTTCTCCGACGCGGCCGGGCAACGGGCGCGGAGAGGGTCGCGCGCGTCGCGGGCCGTGGCGGCCCAGCGTGTCGCGAGGCACCGCCGCGAAGGGCACCGCCGCGAAGGGCGCGAAGGAGGAGGAGGAGGAGGAGGAGGAGGAGGAGGAGGAGGAGGAGGAGAAGGGTGAGGAGGACCTCCCCATCCTCCCTTCTCCCCCGTCCTGCCTACCTCTGGCAGTGACGGTGCAACGTTTGCGCATCGTTCTCCGACGCGGCCGGGCAAAGGGCGCGGAGAGAGTCGCGCGCGTCGCGGGCCGTGGCGGCCCGGCGTGTCGCGCGAGGCACCGCCGCGGAGGGCGCGGCCGCCGAGGTGCTCTCGAAGAGGACCGGGGACACGAGCAATGGCACAAACATACGAACTCGGGGGTCCGCGCGGATTTCTCGGATCGGCGCCAGGGACACGAACAATGAGTTAAGCATAAAAACTCGGGGGTCCGCGCGAATTTCTCGGATCGGCGCTGGGGCCCCCTGGCGGCGCCGCCCCTGGCCCGCTCCGCGCGCCAGGGAGGGGGATCCAGCGCGGATCTAAGAAATCCGCGCGGACCTCCGAGTTTTTATGTTCATGCCATTGTTCGGTTCCCTAAAGAAGCAGCGCTATAAACATAATATTGTTGGCGCTCCGCACGGATTCCCTGGACCCGCGCTGGACCCGCCTCCCCAGCGCGGGTCCAAGAGATCCGCGCGGAGCGCCAACAGTGCATATGTATGGCGCTTTTCCTTCTTCGACGTTCTCGTGCCGGGGCTCCTCCCCGTTCTCGTACTACCTCGTCCTTCCTCCCTCGGACGATGAGGCCCAGAGTGAGGGGGCCAGCCGGTCCTTTACTGTCCCTGGGCGCGTAGTTGGAGTGGGGTTCCGCGATGCGGACTGTTGTTGCGTTGTTCTTGCGTTGTTGTTGTTGTTGTTGTTGTTGCTGCTGCTGCTGCTGCTGCTGTTGTTGTTGTTGTTGTTGTTGTTGTTGTTGTTGTTGTTGTTGTTGTTGTTGTTGTTGTTATTGTCATTGTCGTTGTCGTTGTCGTTGTTGTTGTTGTTGGTGTTGTTGTTGTTGTTGTCAATGTTGTTGTTGTTGGTGGTGGTGGTGGTGGTGGTGGTGGTGTTGGCGTTGTTGCTGTTATTGCTGTTGCTGTTATTGTTGTGGTTGTTGTTGTGGTTGTTGTTGCGGTTGTTACTGTTGTTGATGGCGTTGTGGTTGTTGATGTTGTTGTTGGTGTTGTTGCTGATGCTGTCGTCGTCGTCGTTGTTGTTGTTGTTGTTGTTGTTGTTGTTGCTGTTGTTGTTGTTGTTGTTGTTGTTGTTGCTAGTATTGTTCTTATTGTTGTTTGCGCTGTTGTTGATGCTGGTATTGCATGATGCTGTTGGTGTTGTTGCTGGTGTTGTTGCTGTTGAATTCTCACTCATGAAGAAAATTGGGGTTGGCCACCCTTCTGGTAGCCATTTGTTTTCAGCTGACGTGCCTCCTCGGGGCTCGCACCTTTTCTTTAAGAGGGGAAGTCTTCGTGCTCAAACTGTGTTGTTGCCCCCCCGGCTGCAACAACAACTGCTCGCGCCTGATACTTCCTCACGCAACGTTCCAACATCGCGCTCTCGCGTTTGATTTCCTCACAGCTTATGCAGGACTCGCGCTTTCGAGCGGGACTTCCTCGCAAATTGATTCACTAGCCGCGCCTTCGGCATTCAAGAATCACGCTCTCGCCCTGGCCTCTCTCACGACTCACATGGGAATCGTGCTAGCTATCGTTCGAGACTTCCTCGCGATTCATGCAGGACTCACGCTTCAGCAGCCCGCCTGCTCGACCTGGCCGCCTGGGCCCGCCTTCCCGACCCGCCCGCCAAGGTCTGCCCGCTCTATCTGCCCGTCTGGTTCTGCCACGCGTTTCTGCTCCTAGCCCCCCTCCTGTGGATTTCTCGCGTGCTCCGGCTTTCTCCCCCTTCCATCCGTCCTCTCTTCCCGTGCACCAGGGCTGTATTACATGCACGTGGAAGGTAAGGAAGATATACCCCAAAGGGGTACGATCGAAGACACAGAGGGCGGGTGCGGAGGGTCTTGGATATACGTGTTGAACGGCATGCGATCCGATAGGAGCGAATAGTCTTATTTGTTTGTTGCTGGTGTTCTTCGTTGTCGTCGTCGTCGTCGCCCGCGACCCACCCGCGATCCACCTCGCCACCCAGTCGCGACCCAGCCATCTTGTTTTGACGAATATGTCGGCGCCTGCGGCGGGCTGGTTGTGGCAGAAACAAGAAAAACGATTGCGGCCCCCGCGGTGGTCTTCCTCAGAGCCGCGCTCGCATGCTGCCGTCGACCCCGCCCCCCCCCCTCACTCTGATCCGCAACTGCGGAGGAGGGCGGCAGGAAGGAGGAGGAGGAGGAGGAGGAGGAGGAGGAGGAGGCGGCCACGCATGACGAGGCGAAGGAGGAGGAGAGGGGGGGGAGGGGGGGGGAGGGAGTGGGAGGAGAGGGAGGAGAGGGAGGAGGACGACGAGCAGGAGGAGGAGGAGGAGGAGGAGGAGGAGGAGGAGGAGGAGGAGGGAGGAGGAGGAGGAGGGAGAGATCCATCCCCACGCCCTCCTCCCCGAGCGTGGGCCCTGGACCCCTGGCCCCCTCCCCGAGCAGCCGCCGCCCTCCCTGCCGCCGCGCTGTCCCTTGGCACCACTGCGGGGCGCGGGGCCTGGGCGAGCAGCCGAGGCGGGGGGCAGGAGTCGCGAGTCGGCGCTCCTCCTCCTCCTCCGTCTCCTCCTCCTCCTCCTCCTTCCTCCTGCTCCTCCTCCTCCTCCTTCATCCTGCCCGTCCTCCTCCTCCTCCTCCTCCTCCTCCTCCTCCTCCTCCTCCTCCTCCTCCTCCTCCTCCCTCCGTCTCCTCCTCCGTCTCCTCCACCTCCTCTTCCTCCTCGCGAGGGGGGGGGGGGGAAGGAGAATAGGGTAATGAACAATGACATGAGCATAATAACTCGGAGCTCCGCGCGCCTCCGGCGCCGCCTTTGGCGCGCTCCGCGCGCCAGGGAGGGGGGTCCAGCGCGGATCCGAGAAATCAGCGAGGACCTCTGACTTTTATGCTTATGTCGTTGTTCGTTCCCCTAGGGAAGGCCTTTTCAGAAGGCCCAGGGGCTTCTCAGAAACCCACGCGCCTTCTGAGGGGTCGATCTTTGGAGACCTCTCGGCGCGCGGTGAAGGCGGATATACTCGGGGCCCAGGGGGGTGGCACATCTGGCCCAACCCGCCGCTGCCGAATTCCGAAAGATCGTCGGAGGGAGAGAAAGCGACACCAATACCACAAGGGGGTCGCCTCCAGCGAGGAGGTCCACGATGCCTTGCCGAGCTAGGAGTCAGGGGACGTTTCCAGCGAGAGGGGCCACCAGGGAGACCCCCTTTGCCTACTCTCATCTCATCGCCCTGGTGGTGTTGGTGTCGCCTTTCCTTGTTCCTAGGTCAATCGCCCAGGCGGCGGTTCCAGATGAGCCCCCGCCTCGCACAATGAAGCAAATGGGGTCCTGAGGGAAGCGCGTCTTGAGGTTTGCACTCGTTGTGGGCATCCTTGGGCCGTCCACAGGCCCGGGGTTCTGCCACAGAGCAGCGCAGGATGGGAGGCGGGCTGGCCCTGAGGAGTGGCCCTGCTGGGGTCAGTACCCATACCTTTTCCGCATTCCTATCCAGACATCCGCCATACTAGCGCCCCCATTGGGGATGTACCCCTCGAACCCCCAACGGAAACAGCCCATGCATTTCCATCTAAGGGGGTTGAGAATCGGCCAGTGGGGCCCAAGCCACGCCCATGGGGATTCTGTTCGGACAGAGGCACAAGTTCGGCGAGGGTCACCTGATGTTCTTCGTGCTTGCTGGATGTTCTTGTGCATCCTGGGGGAGGGTACCCTCGAATGTTCTTCAGTTTGGCTGGCGAGGGTCTCATGTTCTTGAAGGATGATCCTCTGTGCATTAGTGGGTCAAACCGTACACGATGCCCGGGGGGGGGGTACGCAGGCCCTCGGGGCACGCCTGCTGCATATGCCGCCAGGAGGGGCGCCCGGAGGTCTGGGCTTGGGCTCTTCTCCCTCCTCTCCTCCCCTCCCTCCCTCTCAGGGGCAACGTTAGGTATGGGTCAGTTTCCACCACCGCCACCATACTCCAGATTTCGTAATAAAAGGGAGGGGGTCTGGACCCTCCAAGACAAGCCATTTCAGACCCCCCCCGTGGGAGAACCCTCCAAAACATCGTCCCCAGACCCCCCCAGGCCCTCCAAGATAGCCTGGAAGAGACCCCCCCCCGAAATGAGACCCCCCTCCCTTTATTACGAAATCTGGAGTAAGTTATCATCCTTCGCCATCGGGGAAGCGGGTCCTGAGGGAAGCGGGCCCTGATTTTTGTCCGCCGTGTTCGAGCTCTCGGGGCCCTCCACGGGCCCCGGGACTGTCAGAGAACGACTCGGGAGGAAGACCTCGTCCTGGGGGGAAGGCCCCGGGAGCCAGGACTCGTCTCCTTCAGGACCCGCTTCCCGCGTGCGAACTTCCTCCTCCTCCTCTTCCTCTTCCGCCTCCTCCTCCTTCTCCTCCTCTCTGTTGAAATGGAGCCTCGTCCTGCTCCTCCTCCGCCCCCTCCTCAATGAGGAGGGAGGAGGAGGCGGAGGAGGCGTCCTCATCCCTCTCCTGCCTATGGTAGCGGTGGTGGATGAGCGGCCCATCATCAGGGGGGGATGTGCTCAGAGGATGACGCATCGACCCCAACCGCCCAGTTATCGCCGAGAGGGATCCGACATCCAGCGTGCGGATTTGCGATCGGGGGCCCATCGCCGACCTGTCGGCGATGCGTCGCCGATTCCAGCTCGGAGTTCCTCGGCCGGTCCCCCGCCGAACGCCCCCCCTCTCATCGGCATGCGGCACCACCCGCCCGGTCGGCCCAAGGGGTACCAGGAGGTCGTGTGAGGTCCAGCTTCGGCCGCAGGGCAGGACGAGGGGGTCCTGAGGGAAGCGGGTCCTGGGGCCTTTGGGGCTTCAGGAGGGGAGGAAACACACAGACACAATGGATCGTCGACTCTTATGAAAATGTGGGAAGATGTGGGAAGTGGGGGGGAAGACAAAAACCCCGAAAATATGGTGAAATATTTTTTGGTAGGCGGCTCCAGGACAAGGGTCAAGAAGCGGGATAAACGACTGGGGCACAGACCGTAGATAATTGGCCAAAGCGTCGCGTAAGCCGCGAAGGCGAGTGCACGTGCAAGGGACAAAATGACCCTCAATGGTGAGATATGGGGAAGCCTGTTATCTGTGTGTATGTATTCGTGTGTTTGTGGGCCCCTTCAGGGTTGCCAGCGCGTGGCCCGGGACGAAGAGCTGGCCCTGGAGGAAGGCCCGGGGGTCCAGGACCCTTTTCTTTCAGGACCCGCGTGCCTCACTCAAGCAGCGGCGAAGCGTTTTGGCTCGCCTATAGCCCTACCAAACAATGTTCTAAGAACCTTCCTGTGGTTTCCACGACATGTCCTTAGAACATTTCTGGTGGGGTCTGTCTTGTTTTATCACACTGGGTTTATGTTCTACGAACGTTGTTTTTGTTCTTAGAGCATTTGGGGTTTCTAAGAACACTTCGTGGTATGACTATAGGAATGCCGGGACGGTCGGTCCCTGCTCTACTCGCGTTGACCTTGAGTCGGGCATGTCCCTCTACAGGAGGAATACTCAAAAATAGTCAAAGGAATAACGAGGGGACGATTTTCTACTGTGTTTGTCAATTGTTGAATTTGTTTCTCAGTTTTTAGAAAGATCTCCCAACATCCGCCTGTAGGAGGACATGCCCGACCTAATGCTAACCCGCTTCTTGCTCTGCTCCGCCAGCCACGGCGCTCGTCTCAGCATCCTCTGCCGCCGGTGCGCCTTGCGCCTGCAACGATGAGACGGGGGGATCCAGGCGTCTACGGCGTCAGCGGGGCGGACCCCCACGCGATGTACAACATCATCAGGACAGCAGCCTGTCCCGTTGGCCACCTCCTGCGCCGGCCTCTTGGAGCCTCAGACTGCACTGCTCGAGGACGAAGAGGCGGGAAGACACACATCAAAAAAACAACCAAAAAGCCCGCCTGACGATTCGGGCTTCCTCGTTGCCTCCGGACCCATTCCTCGGAGGGGTCCGGCCGACTCGGGGCGCTGTTGAGCCCTCTTGGAGCAATGTGGGGGGAATCGTTCAATGTCGGAGCTCTCTCGAAGCGCTCTTTGGGGTGTCTTGAGGCTGTCTTGTGCCCCTGGCGATCCCCCCGCGAGCTCGTCCACTGGCTCCCCAGGCACGCCCCCCCCTTCCCCACACCCCTCAAACGCGCACTTCGGGACCTGGTGTGGTGGGGGTGGGTATGCCAGGAGGGGAGGAACGTATTCTCACGCGCTTGGGGCTCTCAAAGGGATCGGTAGAGTCGTATAGTCACCCCGTTTTTTGTTCTCGGTCAAGTCCGCCCTTGTCTCGTGATGCAAGCCATACGCATGTATGCATGCGGCGACTCGTTCGTCAGAAGAGCGCCCAGCGTGCGATGCAAACGCGCACGCAGTCTTCATCATTTTCGGAGTTGGCGTCAGTGGACCAGAAACTGCACGGAGGCTTGTGTTAAGTCGGGCCTGTACCTCTACAGGAGGAATATTCAAAAATAGTTCAAGAAATAGTCTGGGAACGATGTTTTCAGCATGATTTGCGATTTTTGAATATTTATGTATCTCCTATTCTTCATCCAAAACCTCCCTGTAGGGGGACATGCCCGACCTAAGGCTTGTGCTTAGGCAGGGCTGGTGGCGTCCTCTCCTCTCGTCTCCACTTGGTGCCCAGCCCCGCAGCTGTGGTTATGAGTGAGGTGTCGCGGACGCAGTCGGCGCGAATGTCGAGAAGAAAAACACACCATAAGCATAAACTGTTGGCGCTCCGCGCGGATTTCTTGCCTCCGCGCCGGGCCCCTCCGGCGGCGCCTCCGGCGCCGCCCCTGGCGCGCTCCGCGCCAGGGAGGGGGGTGGGGTCCAGACCAGATCCAAGAAATCCGCGCGGAGCGCCACAAGTTCATGTTCATGTGTCGTTTCTTCATCTGGAGCCGCCGGGACCGTGTGAGGCTGGCTGAGCCCCCGTGGGCTCGCAGAGAGGGCTTCCGACTTGCGCTTCAGAGAGGCCGCGATCCGCCTGCCTCTGCAAGGGCTCCCTCGAGGGCGCGAAGTTATTCGCGCTTCGCGCTTCGCGGTCCTCGCTCCTTCTCCCCCTCCTCCTCGTCCTCCTTTTCTCCCTTTGGGGGGGCGGCGCGAGAGCGCGAAGTTATTCGCGCTTCGCGCTTCGCGGAGCGCGAAGCGCGAAGTTGGGAGCCCTTGCCTCTGGAGCGTTTTCGGCTCATCGGTCAAGCCAGGGGGAGAGAGGGCGGGCGCACGATGAACGCAGCCAAGCGGATCCTGAAGGAGCAGGAGAAGATGAGCGCCGACGTCGTGCCCGGCATAAAGGCCGGTCCGAAGGGCGAGAATCTGTCCGCAAGGGTCTCGCCCTCTGCCGCTGGCCCCCTCTTCTGTCATCATGGGGCGATTTGGCAATCTGCAGGGCAGATGGAGATCCAGATGGGATTGTTACACTCCATGTTGTCGTTGTTGTTGCTGTTGCTGTTGCTGTTGTGGTTGTGGTTGTTGTTGGTGGTGTTGGTGTTGCTGTTGCTGTTGCTGTTGCTGTCGCGCTTGCTGTTGCTGTTGCTGTTGCTGTTGCTGTCGTTGTTGTTGTTGCTGTTGCTGTTGGTGTTGCTGTTGTTGTTGTTGCTGTTGTTGTTGCAGTTGTTGTTGCTGCTGTTGTTGTCGTGGTGGTGGTGGTTGTTGTTGTTGTTCGAACTTCCCCTCGCGCCGTGTACTGGAGAACCTCCTGGAGCAGCTGGGGGCTGCTTGAAGCTATGTAGGGCAACATCGCGCGGCTTGGGCGGTCTTGGGGTTCCTCTGGGCGTTTTGCCAGGGACAGCGAGTGGCTTCGGGGACGCGAACATGGCGTAACGTATTAAGGGTGGTGGCTTCGGGGGCGCGACCCCGACGCAATTCATTAAAGATCGTGGCATCGACGCGAACATTACCACATTTACGGGAGATCGCGGCCCCAGGGGGGGCGAACATAGTGCAATTTACTAGGGGTCGTGCCCGCGGGGTCGCGAGCATTTGGTAATTTACTAGGGGTCGTGGACTCGGAGACGCGAACATTGTGTACTTTACAAGGGGTGTTGGCCTCGGGGACGCGAATATGGTATACTTTCGATATTCATTGTGTAAGGGGTTGTGGTGTCGGAGACGCGAACACTGCCCACGTAGTTTACGAAGGACGGTCGCCTCGGGGACGTGATTATTTCTTGATTTACCAAGAATCGTGGTCTCGGGTACGCGAATACGGCGTACTTTGCCGGGGGGTCGTGGCCACGGGGGCGCGGATATGGTGAGATGTGTGAAGGGTCGTGGTTTCGGGATCGCAAGTATCATATAATTTGCGAGAGATTGTGGCCTCGGGGCCTGTCAAGTAACTTACAACAAGGACCGTGGCCCCGGGGACGTGAATAAGGAGTAATCTACGGAAAGTCGTGGATCCAGGGAGGCGAATGTGGCGTAAACGATCGGGGCCTCGGGGACGCGATTATTGTCTCATTTTCGACGGAGTGTGGCCTCGGAAACGCGAACTTTTTGCACAACTTACAGAAAAGATCTCAGCCCAGTGAACGCGAACATCGCGCAGTTTACAGAAAGGGTCGCGTTTTCGGGGGAGCGCAGATCGTGCAATTGACATCCAGGGTCGTGGTCTTGGAGACGCGATCATTGTTTAATTTACGAGGCATCATGGCGTCGGGGACGTGCATCTCATGTATGTGTACATGCCAGTCATTAAAAGTAAGAATTTCTTGCTTTCCATATCCAAATCTATTTCAAACGCCTTCCTATTTCAAGAAGCGACTAGCTTTTGCTGCGTCTTCTTCTTCTCTGGGAGGGCCCGAACCCAAATCTACTTGATCCGCGTTCCGTCTTCATGTTTTGTCCTACTTTTTCCGACCGACGTGCATGTGTCCCACACTGCTCCCCAGGGAATTTGGGGACCCCGGACAGTGACAATTTACACTAGGAAGTGGAAAGTAGGACTATAAAATGGGATATTTGAAACTGGGACAGGAGAGGGAGCAGCAAGCCGGACCTTCACAGCCTGATGGCCTCACAAAGGGGCCGACGGATACCACTGGAGCGCCACTGTGGCCGGCCCGGAGGGCAGCCCTTACGAGGGTGGCTCGTTTGAGCTGGACATGCGCTTACCGACCCGGTACCCAATGGAGCCGCCAATCGTGAAGTTTCGGACCCCCATCTTCCACCCCAACGTCAGTGGCGGAGGGGACATCTGCCTGGACATCCTGAAGGACAAGTGGTCGCCCGTGCTGTCTCTACAGAAGGTCCTCCTTTCCATCTCCTCGCTGCTGACGGACCCGAACTTCTCAGACCCCCTGGACCAGGCAGCGGCGACGTTGTACCGGAAGAGCCGCCCAGAGTACGACGCGCGGTGCCGCGAGATGACCCGTCGCCACGCCATGGGTGGAGCTTCTGCCCAGGGCACTGGCACGAAGAGAAAAGCTTCCGGGCCGTCTGCGTTCAGCGAAGCTGCATCTCGAAGAAGACAAACAAACCATAAGCATCAGTTGCCGAAGATCCGAGCAGATTTCTTGGATCTGCGCTGGCCCCCCCCCTGGCGGCACCTCCGGCGCCTCCCCAGGCGCGCTCCGCGCGCCAGCTAGTGGAGGAAGGTCCAGTGCCGCGCCAAGGAGTCCGCTCTGACCTCCCAAAGGGTGATTATCTTTTCGCAGTTGGGCGACGGAAGGAATTGGGTCGACTGCGCCAACATTCTCGCGTGAGCTTCCCGCGTCAGACCGCGCGTCAGCGCCCTCTTGACCACACGGTTCACCACGCCGGCGGCCCGCGTTAGCCGCTGCTGTGCGATCGTGCGTAAGACTTACGATGTTCTTATCTACCTCAGCCTTGATCACCAGAAATAGTTTCGAGCACCAAGATGGTACTGAAACCTGAGGGTTTTCACGCGCCGGGCCCCGGGGCGCGATACTCGCTCAGCGCTGCTTCGATACTTTGCTGGGTGCTCGGAACTCTTTCTGGGACCTGGTCCTTGAGTACTCGGGGCTGGACAGAACCCCCAACAGTGACACGTCGATTAGTGACTTGTCCGTTTTCGGTTCTCGAGAGGGCGCCATGGCCTTCATTTTCCAGGCTTGCGCCCGCCAGGTTTGGGCTTCAGGTCGTTTTCACTAAACCACGTTTTGCTAAAGGGGGGTCTGTCCATCCCCGAAGTACGATGGGAGCAACGTGGCGCAAGGCCCCTCCTCTCTCTGCGTCGCCCAGTTGTTTGCTTCTTCGGGCATCTGCCGCCGACGCCGCCCAGGGCCCCAGCGAGGCGAGGCCGCCGGCCGCGCGAGGCTCGGGGCACCCCTCCGCAGCCGCTGGGGCGTCGCCCCGGCCGAAGGCCAAGGCCAAGGCGGGGGCAGGGCGGCCCCCGGCGGCAGCGAAGGCTCAGGGCGGGGCGGAGGTCAAGCAGTGGCGAAGCGTCCTGGCTCGCCTGTAGCCCTACCAAACAATGTTCTGAGAACCTCTTGTGGTTCCCACGAAATGCTCTCAGAACGTTGCTGGTTCGGACTGTATCTTGTTTTGTCACATCGGGTTTGTGTTCTAAGAACATTGTTTTTGTTCTTAGAACATGTTTGGGTTCTGCGAACACTTCGTGGTAGGACTATGGGAATGCCGGGACGATCGGTCCCCAATCAAGGAGGCGGAGCGTCCTGGCTCGCCTATATCGGGGGTGGACAGACCTCCTGCCCTTGCGCGTCGATTGGCGAATTGGCCGTTTTCGGTTCACGAGAGGCCTGTCGCGGCCGTCATTTCTGCGGGTCCAGGTGCGTCGGTGTCGGTCCTGGGCCGTCTTCACTAAACAGAGCTTTACTAGGGGGAGGTTTGTCCACCGCCGACTATAGGCCCACCGAGGAATGTTCTAAGAACCTCGTGTGGTCTGCACGAACTTGTCTCGGAACACTTCTGGCTGGGGCTCTCTTGTTTTAACACATGTGGCTTGTGTTATGAGAGCACTGCTGTTGTTCGTGGAGCATCTTTGGGTTCTAAGAACATGTCGTGGTAGGCCTATAGGACAAGCCGGGACGATCGGTCCCTGCTCAACAAGGCCAGGGCGGAGGCGAAGCCGAAGGCGAAGCCCAAGGCAAAGGCAAAGGCTCGCGGGTGACGCCTGTGCCCAAGGCCGCTGCTCGGCGGCGCGCGGACTCGGAGGAGGAAGCGGTACCCCATACCTCTGCCCCCCCCTCGCTCTCGTCGCCTTTGGGGGGGTCTCCCCGGAGGCCCACGCCGCCGCGGCTCGACTCGCCTCGAGGTGCTGGTCAGAGCGCCGCCTGGGAGGGGTCCGGGGAGCAGCGGTATCGGCAGCTTCTTGTTTCCCCACGAGGGGGTGTCGCGGACGAGGGGCGGTCTTCCAGGAGGCAGGGCGGCGTCTCACAGGGCCATGCCATTTCCAATGAAGCCTTCTTGGAAGCCTCGGGTCCCCTCTGAGCAGCCGCTGCCTTCTGGCGGAGAGCCGCCCGTCGCTCCGCCCGCCTCGGCACGCCGACGGCGGCAGGCGACGCGTAGGTGACAGCTGTGCGCGGCGACGGCTGTGCTTGTAGATGACAGCTGTGCCCGGCCAGCCTGTGGGTGGTTGCTGGCTTCCGCCTTGGAGTTGCGCCGCACCAGAAAGGGGGGTAACGGCAAAAGTGGCAGGTCTTGCTTCAGGGCTGCGGCCCTGCACGTGCAAATGCGAACGAAAAGTAGCGCACGGCGCAGCCACAGCAGTGTGACACATTGCCATCCGGTACTGAAGCGAATCAAGTCTCACTCTCACGTAACACCCCAAAAGGTGACGACAATTCCCACCCCTAACCATGGTATGGCACAGCTCTACCCAGCTCTACGCTTGCTCCGTCCCTTAATCTACCTTGGTTCGACCTGCTCTGCTTTACGCGAGCCGAAGCCCCATTCGACTGAGGCATACACACTTCCACGCCATACTACAGTACCATTCACCCGTTCCAGTCTATTGGGTAGAATCTTCATCCTAATACCCTAATCGTCCAATTAAAATAAATCATAAGCATGTTCTATTACCTTAGTAAATTGTCGACCTTACACCCTGCTCCATGCCTACCTCACCCTTACTCTTCCTCTCATGCACTCTCTACTCTGGTTTTTGTTCCTACCCTGGCCTTGAACGCGATCACCATCATATTGTAGTAGGGTCATTGACAGGGCCAGGATTCGGGTTGGTGCGAGCACCAGTGAACAGTAGTTGAGCCAAGCAGAGTAGCGCCAGACTCATACGAAAGTCATGAAGCAAAAGTATAAATATGATTCGTGCCATGACCAGAACGGGTTTGGGATCGTGGCTAGGCTAGACGTTTTGGGCTGAGTCTGAGGCATGAGCTGAGGCTGGGGCCACTCTTGGCGCAAGATGTAAGGTGCATGGGGGGGTCAAACATAGAACGCGTGATCGATGCTGCTGCCATTCAAGCTCACGATTCCCAAGTCGTGACCCTTGCACTCCCCCGAACGAGGGTTGATCACAACCCCAGCTTTTCGAGGTGGACCTTTCTGTTCTTCGTGTTTGGGCCCTCTCTCTCAAACATGTGTGCTTGAATGTTTGTTGTGCCCATGGGAATTCGCCGGTGGGCATCCTGCTATTGACTCGCGCTCTCGAGGCCATGCTTCGACCGTGCTCTCTCATCCAGGTCCCAGCACCATCCCTGAGGCCGGCCAAGCTTGGAAGCTTGGGGCGTGAAGCCCTTACGGTAGGTTCGTGCGGCGTTGACGCGCCGGCGACGCCAGCGAAGCCGTTACAGGTGGAATTCTGCGGCGCGGAAGCACCGATGGGCACTGTAATGCCATTGGGCCCGACTGGATTCAACCTGGAACAATCGGGGCCGCGATCGATTCAGGATGGAACGATCGACGCGGTGTCAAAAACCTCTGCGCGCGCCGAGCCATTGGGCCTCGTGAGCCGCGTGCCTCGCGCGTGCCTCGTGCGTGCGGAGCTGCGCGCTCTTGGTGCAGGGGCTCCCGCGCCGTCTTGCCGGCGCGCGCCGTCGTGCTGTCGCGGCGCCGTGGCGTGGCGTGGCACGGTGTGCCGCGGTGTGGCGGCGTCGCCGTGTCGTCGTGTCGCGGAGGCCCCGCGTCCCGGGCCCGCTGAGGCCGTCCAAGCATCAGGGGATCGCAAACATGGATCAAGGGGGCGTGGATTAGCGACGGGTCCCATTTCCCATTTCCACTTCCCACTTCCATCTTTAGGCCATCTTGGGCTCTCTTGGGGCCCTCGTGGCTGTCTTGGAAGCTTGGAAGCATCTTGGCCGTCAAGGAGGCCGTATTGGGGCCATCTTGAGCGAAAACGCCGACGAGACAGGCAGCCGGCGCGCTGGGCCGAAGCCCCAGGGGGGGTTCTTCTGGAAAGAAAAGACCAAACCGTATAGGTCAGGCGATCGCAAACATGGATCAAGGGGGCGTGGATCAGCGACGGGTCCCGTTTCCATGGGACATCACGGATTTCCGCGGCCGAGCGAGGCGGCACCGGCCGCATTTGGGGGAGGGCACCTCCCCCGATCCATGGATTTAGCGACCGCGCGCCTAATCCATGGATCGCTAGTCCATGTTTGCGCGCCCCCGAGTATAGGGTCTGGCGCGCCAGGCATCCCTGTGATAAATCAAGGGGGGGCGGCGGATGACAGAGAGCGCGCTTGCGTCGCGATCTCTTCGCCGGGAGAAGTAACTAGGGGGGTTGTGGGGGTTACGCAGTACGGGGCGCAGATGACGGAAAGCGCGCGTTAGCGTGCGGTCTGTTAGCCGGAGGAAATTGGACTTGGGGGAGTTCGAGGGGGTTGGCATCGCGAGCCCCAGATCTAATTGCCCTCCCGCTTCGTTTTTTATCGAGTAGGACGGCCTTCGGGGCTTCAAAACAGCGTTTCGCCCGAGACATCATCGGAGAACGCTTCTTGGGCGCTTCTTGGGCCGTCTTAGGCGCCTAAGACAGCCCAGGAAGCGGCCAAGACGGCGCCCAAGACGGCCAAAGATTGCCCAAGAAGCGCCCAAGACGGCCCAAGAGCGCTCCAAGAGAGCCCAAGACCGCCCAAGACGGCCCCAAGACGTCCCAAGAGGCCTCCACGACGCCCCAGGAGGCGCCCATGAGGCGTCCCAAGAGGGCCCCAAGAGGCCAAAATCATTGATTTTCTTAAGGAAAACGTGCATTTTTAGCCTATACGGCTTTTCGCCCTTCATGGCGTTGAAGACGGTCCAAGAGGCCCCCAAGACCGGCCCAAGGCAGCCCAAGATGTTCCCAAGAGGCCCCCAAAATAGCCCAAGAAGGCGCCCAGACGGGCCAAGAGGCGTCCAAGACTGTCCAAGAGGCCCCCAAGAGCGCCCCAAGAAGGCCCAAGAGGCCCCCAAGAAGGCCCCAAAACGGCCCAAGAGGGCGCCAAGACGGCCCAAGAGGGCGCCAAGACGGCCCAAGACGGCCCCAGGACGACCCCAAGAAGGCCCCGAGAGGCCCCCAAGAGAGCCCACAGACGGCCAACGGCAGCCTGGTCCCTTCACCCCCGCAGCCCCAGAGGCCCCCGAAAAGCCCCAAAAGGTCCCCAAGAGGCACCCAAGAGGCTCCCCAAGAGCCCCCCAAGAGGCCAAACTACTCCCAAAGGCTCTTAGCACCGCGGCTCCCAAGAGCGAGCGGTGACGTAATCGAGCTGATAAGACCAAAGCTCCCAACAGAGAGCTGCGGCGTAATAAGTTCTTGCAGCCAGGGCACAGGGACGGGCGGCAACGCGTGGACAACGAGCGGTCCACGCAAGGACAACGCGGGGTTCTGGAAAGCTGGCAGCCCAAACGCGGAAAACGCAACGCGACCCGACCGCCCCCTCCAAAACAAGAAACGCGCTCAAAGAAAGCTCCGCGACTCTCCGAGGCTGAGATAGGACAAGAGCGAGGGGAAGGGAGTCAATAAGAGGTGTAAGAGCGGACGAGCCAGCGATCCCGTGCGCTCTGTAAGTAAGTGCGCTTTCCGTCCCCGTGCCAAGCAGGTCTACTGGCCCAAATTTCGGCCACTTTCGGCCCAAGACGGCCCAAGTCATCCCGAAAAGCGCCTCAGAGGCCCCCCAAACGGCCCAAGACAGCCCCAAGAGCGCCCACGATACCTTCAAGACTCCAAGACGGCGTCGGAGAGGTCCAAGAGGGCCCGAAGACGGCCAATGAGCGCTCAAAGAGGGCCCAACATGGCTTCAAGACGGCCCAAGGGGCCTCTAAGACGCCGCAGGAAGCCCGCAAAGGGGACACCCAAGAGGCAAATGTCGTACTAATTCCCTTCGGAAATTTACATGTTCAGCATAAAAGCTCATTTGGTCCTCACAGTGTCCAAGACGGCCCGAGAGGCTCCCAGGACCGCCCCAGGATGGCCTCAGAGGCCCCAAAGTGCGCTCCAAGACGGCCCAACAGGGCTCCAAGACTGCCGAAGAGAGCTCCAAGCTGGCCCGAGACGGGTCCCAGAGAGCCCCGAAAGGTTGCCAAGAGAGCCCCAAGAGGGCCACAGGAGGCCACAGGGGACCTCCAAGAGCGACCACAGAGAGCCCAAGACGGCCCAAGCCCGCCAAGACGGCCCAAGAGGGCCCCCCACCGAATGCCCAAGTGTCAGCGTCCGCGTGCGGAGACCGCACCCATTCTGGCAGCCCCCCACACGTGTCGTGTCCGCATAGGGAGCCCCACCGAAGGCCTAGATCAGCGCTCGCATGCGGCCACCGCACCCATTGTGGCGCACCCCTCACACGCCTCCTGGCCCCATAGGGAGCTCCACAGAAGGCCCAGATGCCAGCGCTCGCATGCGGCCACCACACCCATATTGGCACACCCCTCCCCCACAAGGAGCCCCACCGCTCGCATGCACACCCTCACACGTTCCGTGGCCCCATGGGGAGCTCCACCGAATGCGCTGCATACAACGACAGTGCCCACAGCTGCATATGGTTGGGTCCTTCGCCAGGTTATCTGTTCGATTTTGTATGTCGCAGTCTTCACACCAGCAGGGCTCCAAGACACTAGCCAACTACCTCGCGCCCTCACAGAAAGAGCCCGCGTTTTCCGTCCCTATGCCAAGCAGATCTCCTGGCCTGCGGCCCATCCCGACACCGTGCTTGAGTTGTGGGTGCGAGTCCTCAGAGATGCTTCTTGGGGTCTCCTCGGGGCGCTCTCGGGGGCCTCTTGGTGCCAGTTGCGGGGCCTCTTGGGAGTCTCTGGAGGGCCTCGTGGGAGTCTCGGGGGGGGCCTCTGGGCCTCTTGGGAGTATCTTGGGAGCCTCTTGGGGCCTTTGGGGGGCCTCTCGGGGCCGAGGGCTCGAAATGTCCATTCGAGTCCCCCGTCTGGGCCCCCTCTTGGAGCATTCTTGAGGGCCTCTGGGGCCGTCTTAGAGGCCTCTTTGGCAGTCTTGGGGCCCTCTTGGGCCGCCCCCATCGGTTGTCTTGGGGCGGTAGTTGGGGCATCTTGGGCCGTCTTGGAGCGTCGCGAAGCCGAGAAGGTGAGAACTCTAAAATCATTGAAACACCTGCAGCATTTCAGGTGATGTTTGCTTGTTGGGGCACTCTTGGGAGTGCTCTTGGACGCCTCTCGGGCGTCTTCGAGGCCTCTTGTGCCGTCTGGCGGCCGTCTTGGGCGTCTTGGAGCGATGTTTCGGCGATCCTCTGTTTCTGGACCGTCTGGGCGGCCTCCCGGGGCTTTCTTGGCCCGTTTGGGGGCCCCCCT